GATGTACATTCAATGGAAAGGAAATCACTTGAGGCAATTTAGCAGAACTCCCACAGTTCCTTCTGGAATCACAAAAAGGCGTACCGTTATATTACTTTTTATATATCGGCTAGTACTTCCTAAGAAAAACAGACACTGATGTGTTAAATGAGTGCAGTTTCCCTTTAAGACAGGTTCAACACACATACCTTGTGAGCACTGGCTAGTATTTTTGTGGTGATTTCAGTTTAATTGCATGATTCACCAGAAGACATAATGATGCCTCCAGGACACGCTGACCGATGATAATGCAGTGAATCGTAGAAGCTTTAAATGAGTGCACCAACTGGGAATGAGAATATGAGCCCAAAACACTCATCATGGCTGGATGAATGTAATGCTGGGGGCAGCAACATGGCATCCAACAATGAAATGGGCATCAGTGTGTGTGTGTGTGTGTGTGTGTGTGTGTGTGTGTGTGTGTGTGTGTGTGTGTGTGTGTGTGTGTGTGTTGGAGGGAAGGGGGGGTATGAGTTAGTTTTATTATGGATGCTCACTGACCGAGACCAACAGCAGGCTCACAGAAGGAGCACTAACAATCCTTGTATGCAGCAGGCGTTTGGAATTGCATGTTACATATTGGCTAATGCTTACATGCTACAAAAAGCTAAATGTGAATATGTGAGTATGGTGGATAGACCAATGTGCAAAGAAACCTAACTAAGAACTCCTAAATAATGCATTTATAAACATCTATAAGTATATAGAATAATGCAGGTGGAAAAATCGTACGTTTCCTCTTTTTCCTTCATCTGTTTCTCGATCTCCTCCTGGCTCCCTGACAGTTACCCTTCTTAGATCCGAGCCGTCTGATACACAATTTAAACATCAGTTTTAGGATCTACAGATTTCCAGTGAGGGTAGAGGAAGTGTCTCACTCTCCTTGTTTACCCATTTTCCACTAACAAAGGGTTCGCCTGTAAACAAAAGATGGAGCAGAACAGAGAGGGATAGAGAGACAGCAGTACACTGTCCTTGGTGGTAAATAGCCTGGTGCTTTTTTCTGGGAGATTCTCTTGTGAGGATGAAGTCACCACCTAATCTGCTCTCAGAGCTCTCCCTTTCTTTGGATAATGCATTTATTTTTCAATCCTTCAAATGTGTTTCTCATCTCCCTTATTCAGGTACACAGAACATAACGAACACTGTATTATTTATATATGAACTAATGTAATTATGTTTGGATTGATTTGTTTATTTCTTCCGTTAATTTTTGTATATTCTGTTCCTGTATTCCCCCCTAAATATACACATGTTCTTATTTGTTTCAATACACAATCAGTTATTTGCGTACTTCTTTATTGTTTGATTATGATAGGGTGTGTTACTCAAGTACGTTGCATAGTGAACAATTAAGTTATCATTAGCTTATGAAATAAAATAATATGATTTGAAACAAATCCCCCTGTACAATGTTTTGCATAACAACAAGCAGCCTTGCATAAAGACCTTAGGGAGTGTTTTGTCCACCTGCGTTCACACACTTGTTAGAAACACCACTTGATTTCTAAACGTTTTACTTACTAAGGTTTTCACCAGCTGTTAGCACAGATGGAGTAGATACTAACCTGAGTCTGTTCACATTCATGAGTCTCCACTTCCCTCCAGTGGTCACAAGGAAGAATTGCAACAGCTGCAGTCACTCTCCTCTGTGTGTTCACATCCTAAAGCTATAAGAGCCAGAGAGCAAGAATAATGGTTGCACTTAGTAAGCTTCTTGTAAGGCACATACCTGCATGCACGTCTGGAAGTGCACATATGATATATAAAGCAATATACCTATGCAAGCTGATTGGAAATGATATCATAATTGATTGTAATTACAATTTGTCCTCATTGTACCTTGTTGTCTGATTGTCTTGCCTTCTCAGGATCATTATACGATATAACAATATAAGACAATAAGTCTATAGAGAGAATTATCCATTTCTATTTTATTAATCAATAAATTAATAGTGTAAGTTATACAAGGCACTTCATACAAAAGCATCCAAGCAAGTCATGTTCCAAGTATATTTGATATAAAACAGAATATATAGGATAAATACATGTCCTAAAAATAAGTTTGTTATCAGAGAAATGTGTTAGACTGCATGTCACCTTCCCAAGGTTACTCTATGCCAAAGGGCATAGCGTAATTTAGGTAACATATATTATTTTTGAGATAGCCATTAATAACATTTATCAAAAATATTTCACAGACCAATGTATATTTAGTGTGGGAAAAACTAAAAAACATTTATTTTCTAGTGACGTTTGGTTCTGAGCGAACAGCGAAGACTACGCCTCCCACAATGCAACGCGTATTCAACATGGCGTCTCACAGAACTGCTTGACTTCTGGCTACAAGACCAAAACAAAGCTGAAGCTAAACAAGACGGTGTAGTGAGTTTATAATAATATAACAGACAGGAGGATGAAACTGTTGCTGAATGTATTAAAACGAATACACAAACCAGCCGTTTACAGCAGTCAGCCCCGCTGCCGGAGCTCGTCTGCCCGCAGCGGCCTGCTGCCTCTCCGGAATGAGGCTCTCATCGTCGGGTCAAACCCGGAGCTGGTGCAGAGACTCGGCACACAGGTGGAGGTGAGGACGGGCTTCATCACTGAGGAGGAAGAGGGGGCTTTCATGCAAGAGCTGGAGCTAGGCCTGAAGAAGAAACGCTACGAATTTGACCATTGGGACGATGTAAGTACTGTTCAGAAGTACAGGGATAATAGTTGAGAAGGGTATACACACATTTCACGTTTGGTTATTCAAAGTGCATAAGAGTTGCAACGCACACCTGTTACATATTTACGATAAATGAAGCTCAATTAATAACGTGATGAAGGCTACCGTCTGACATTTTAGAAGCTATCAAGAAGATAAAGGACCACTTCATCACTGTTGCAGCCTTCTCTCATAGCTATCCAAATATAGACCTTCTCTTGAATCTGTCAGTAACTATATAACATTAAAAACATTTTTATTTTAGCCAAATCCTACACCTGTTATTTGTATTTTCCTGTTTCCGGTTATAGTTTTTGGTTATGCAAATCTCTTAATAATAACCCCACTCTACTGTTCTGGCCTACATTTGCAGCAATAACAATTAGTAACTATCTACATTAAAACAAGTGCAACACAAGCCTGCAATAGACACATAGTTTCACATTAAAACACATCTAATAACTTTGTATGCAAATGTTTCCAGTGACCAACAGCACCAATTGTTTCAACAAGCACAGGCTGTTGAATTATTTTTGCTCATTATTTCAACAGTTTTGCCATTCACTTACTGCTAACTTAAAGCACCAATGTATTTTAAATGACGGTGAAATTGTAATTTCTGCTGTGTTCACTTCACCTCATTCAGGCTATTCACGGGTACCGAGAGACTGAGCGAGTGATGTGGGGGGAAAGGTGTGAGGAGGTCTTGAGTCGTGTTCGATCTGTTTTTCCCGAGGGAAGTCCTCTCCTCGGGCCGGTGCACATTCTGGATCTGGACAAGACTGGCTACATCAAGCCTCACATTGACAGTGTCAAGGTTTGTCTTGTTTTTTCTCTGCATTCAGACAAAGAAAACAATCACACATGCTCTAACATTTACAATACCATCAGCACTGTAACAAGTTTGATACAACCTTTTGTGTTGGCGCCGCTGTTACCCCATCAGATGTGGTCTTACTGTCGTTCTCTCTGTCTTTTTCAGTTCTGCGGCAGCACCATTGCTGGGTTGAGTCTCCTGTCAGACAGCATCATGCGCTTAGTGAAGGAGGATGATGCCGAAGAATGGCTGGACCTGCTGCTGCCTCGATTCTCCCTCTACATACTGAGGTCTAGCATGTGGTCTACGTATATTGTCATGGAGTTATGTCCTATAGTTGTTAAATCCTTGACTCTGAAAGCACTGTTATTTGTTTCACGCTGCTCTCCTTTCTCCCATACAGGGACCAGGCCAGATATAACTTCACTCACCAGATCCTGAAAGACGAGGAGTCTGTTTTTAACGGACAGAGAGTGCCTCGGCTGCGTCGAATCTCCGCCATCTGTCGGAACCTTCCGGGTTAACAACCACTTCCTCTCAGCTTGGAAATGAACAATACATAACATAAATAAAGAATGATGTCACTGATCACCATTAAGATCTAAAAATATATACCATAAATTACCAAGTTTTGTTTGGTTAATATATTGATATGATATGCATCTATGGTGAAGTGTCCGGGACATTTATTGCAGTTGAGACACTCTCCATATTGTACAATTGAGAAATATTTATTGGATTGAGTCACCGTACAAGAGTACTTAAATGAACCAGCATACTAGCAGTGGTGTTTCACAGCGAGTTCACCTGCGCCACATTGGCTGTCGTTTGAAAACACACTCAATAACCACTCAATTAAATGTATGAAATAATTGTTTATATGTTGTTGATTCTCCATAAGATGGCGGGTTGGCTTCTGTGATTATTCAGGTTTTTATGCAGGTGTTCCTCCACTTATGTACAATACAAACTCTTGTGACTAATTGCCAAATAAATGTAAAGTGAACTTGGATTTTTTTCATTCCTGTTTTCTTTTAGTTCGTCGAAGCTGTGGACATTTTTTATACACACTCCCAGCATGCTCACATATGTATTTAAGCAGGACAAAGTTATCTCTTGACTGCAACTATTATTTCAACTTCATTCCATCACACCTTTTTAAGTACCTCATCATTTAATTTTGAGTGCACCATATACAGTGTATGTGTGCATATTTACATGTGTAAAGTTATGTCTAAAATACATGATGGCCATTAGATGGTAGCAACTCACCTTCTGCATGAATCACAAAGCAGACCATGCTATAGGAGGAGTCTCACAGCCTCACAACCAAAACCTGTTCATTGTTTCAAAGTGAAGGGGGGGGTCAGGTTAAAACAACAGGACACAAAAGGTCCATGTACTTGTTAGACAGGACTGCCTATAGCAATGCCAACACTTACTTCTGCTCTCTAAATCAGGTAAGGACTTTTATGTTATTCAGCTCAGAATTGTTCTCCTTTTTGTAAAAAATTGGTTCATCTGCTTTTATGAGAGCACATGAATGGAGACTATTCATGTCTATCAGATTTAAAGTAATGCAATGGGGGAAATGTTTGTTTTTATTGGTGTTATTTTCTCTTAGCACAGCTCTAGAAGATGGGGTCAGAGATCAAAGTGGTGCCAATGCGTGTCCTGGTGACGGGTGGATCTGGGTTGGTGGGCAAAGCCATTGAGCATGTGGTGCAGGAGGAAGGTGGGAAACTGGAGGGAGAGGAATGGATCTTCCTCTCCTCTAAAGATGCTGATCTTGTGTAAGTTGTCTCAATCATACTCTTCTGTCCGACTGTCCCTACAAACAAATTTGACTATGATTGATTATTGATGAGTTCCAACATTGACATTATAGTGCAGGAAAACAAACAGGCACTTCATGAATTGTGGGTTTTTCCAATGGCTATCCGATTCTAAATACATGTGGTGTTAAAACAGAGATGTTGGGCAGACCAGGGCTGTGTTTGAGAAGTATCGTCCAACTCATGTCATCCACTTGGCTGCCAAAGTGGGAGGACTCTATCTGCACATGAAGGAGAACCTGCACTTTTTGGTGAGATAGAGCATGATCTACCACAGAAAATCTATTGTAAAAGTGGAGTCTGAGGATGAATATCTACATTGTCTTTTAAATGTAATGGCTAATAGTCTGACACCTTCACAGAGGGACAACATCAAAATCAATGACAACGTGCTACAAACAGCCCACGAGATGGGCGTCACCAAAATGGTGTCTTGCCTGTCCAGTTGCATCTTCCCTGACAAGACAACATACCCCATCGATGAGACTATGGTATACTTTATTTTTTATTTAGACCGTTGTTTAATTACATGGAGATTTGTTTGGATTAAATTGACTTTTGTAAGGAAAATATATATTTTAAAAAGTAGTAAATACACATTTTAATGATTACGGTATATATAATGACATAATTATCTGGCATTAATGGGCTGATTTCAAATCAATTAATCCCATTATTAAAGGTCCCCTATTATACTGTTTTTCATCAATATATTATAGGTCTCAGATATATACAAAACATGTCTCTGAAGTGTTTGGCTCCAAATACCAAACAGATCATTGCAGCATCCCATAAACCCCTCTGTTTCAGCCCTGTTTCAAAAGTGCTGATTCTCTGTGTGTTACTTTATGGCGCGTTTCCACTACAGCCCGCAGCCCGGTTTAAGAGGGCTGTGACGTCAGCGGCCCGTCTTTGGTTGCGTTTCCACTTGGCCTAGTACCGGCCGGCGGGTCCTAATTCACAGTTTTTCTGGCCTCATAAAATCGTGGGGCCAGGGCCAGAGACAACGAGGCTGAGTATGCTAAACTAGAGAGAGCGTCGCTGGCAAGGGGGCAACAACTACAACAAGATGGACATATTTGACCGTGATTTAATTGTAATACATGTTTCAAAATGATGCCGAAGTAACAACATACTGATACCGGTTAGTAAAAACCATGAATTAATGCTTTGTCAAGTCTGCAGACAGACGGCAGGCGAAAAACCTTTTAAAATGCTTGTTTTCTAAATGGAGATTGGCTAAGCTAACGCAGTATATGCCCCGACCGTCCACACTCACAACAACGGCCTATACAGACATAAATAAAGCAGCGACTGTATTCACCATGACACAGGCAGTCTGTGGTTTGTACTTGTTTAACTTTTGTCTAGTTTCTGAACATATATGAGGAGCTGTGAGCTCTGAGTGCTAACAGCTAACGGCTGTGTTGTTTTTCTGGGGTCCTCTGAAGATCACGTCACGGCTCCGCCTACACTGCGTTACTATAGATACTGCCCCAGTTTCTAAACTGTAATGGAAATGCGCCATAAAGTGAGCCAGTCCTAACGAGGCCCAGCCATACCGAGCGGGGCCGAGCGAGGCCGTGTAGTGGAAACGCGACATTAGATGAAAATAAGGAGCCACTCCCCACGCCCCTCTGAGAGATATTTGGTTAAAAAGAACACAATGGTGCTCTAGGAGGAGATTCAGGTGATAAGGTGGGGGGGGGGGTTACCTTGGTTGGTGATTGGCTAATGGTTACACAAGCCCAAAAAACATTCTGACATCACAAAGTGGCCAAAATCTGATCAGCTCATGTTCAGACAGGTTTTTATATAAATGGATCAGGACCAAAAGTGAGAGAATCTTTTTTCCTGAAACTGTCAGAATCTCTTTACACAGAGGGGACACATGTTGATGTATAAAAGACATGAAAAAGTGGATTTTGCATAATAGGTGACCTTTAATGCCACTAAATGATGACAGGGTACATGTTGCTACAGAGCAATGAAGTGCAATTATTCTTATTTTAGCAAAAGGCATTGCTTTAACTCTGTCTGTATTGTAATGCCCCTCTCTCATAGATACACAACGGACCACCACATGACTCCAATTTTGGATACTCGCATGCCAAAAGGTTGATTGATGTTCAGAACAGGTATGCAGATTTGAGGTGCAAACAGGGGTGTGGTGTAGAAACAAGGGTGCATCTGACATGCATTCATCCTCTACAAAGAAATGTGGGGTCAGCACCCGGTCAGACAGGTAGCTTCTAATTTGTCTTTTGTAGCTCTTATTTAACTTGTGGCTTTGCCTATATGTCTGAACACAATCCACTGCTCTGTGACAGCATCCATAGTTGATTGTTATCTACTGATACAGGTGTTTTCAGTTCAATTTGTGAATGTCGCAAAGCACAATGGGCTCTGTGAGGGATCAAGTTTCTAGTTAAGGATGTCATGACACAACAAATAAATGTTGTTTACTGTTGGTGGTGGGGAGTTAAAAGAGGAATATAAATGCCTGCAGAAAAAGTGATCATCTGTGTCTTACTCCGTCTCATTACTCTGTGTGTGTGTGTGTCTGTGTGTGTGTCTGTGTGTTGACAGGGCGTACTATCAGCAGTACGGTCATCGTTACACAGCGGTCATCCCCACCAATGTGTTTGGCCCCTATGACAACTTCAGCATAGAGAACGGTCACGTGCTGTCGGCACTGGTTAACAAGACGCACACAGCCAAAAGTGATTAACGCTGACACACTAATGCACCTTGATTTCCAAACTGACGCAGTCAAATCACATATACAGAAACAGACAATAACTATGTAATAAAGACTATTTTCCCTCTCACAGAAGAAGGAAGTCCTGTTAACGTTTGTGGCTCTGGAGCTCCGAGGAGACAGTTCATCTACTCTCTGGTACGAGTCATCAATATAGTCCTTATTATTGGCATGTGGTTGTATACCATTACTTTGTATACTGTTTTTATTTTTGGCCAAAGGAATCTCTGGCTATTAAGAGGAAATAAGTATGACAAACATTCTTAAATGGTCTGCGTTTACTCTCAGGATTTGGGTCGTCTAATCGTTTGGGTCCTGAGAGAATATGAGGAAATTGACCCCATTATCCTCTCTGGTGAGTACACTGCTCTGCTCACCTGTAGCACTCATTAAAATGTGCTTCTGGGTATTTTTCCGATTGTTTAATATGACAAAAACAACTGGGGGGAGTTCTTTCTAAAAACAAATGTCTTTTGATATACATTTTACTGTGGATTTCTTTTCAGTGGGTGAAGAGGAGGAAATCTCAATCAAAGAGGCTGAGGACTTGATCGCAAAGGCTCTGGATTTTACAGGAAAAATACAAGTATCCTTTTATACTTTCCAAATGATGTTACACAGTGTGCACAGACCGGTTTATCACTTTGAGATGCTTATTGGTTTACTGACCCTGAGATATACAGAACAGATCAACACTAAACTGTTAACCTTATTTCCTATTAGGGATGCACAATATGGGTATTTTTTTTTGCTGATACCTACAATCTATTATTAAGTTGAACACAAGAAAGAAACATAATTATTCATAACATTTTCTTTTAGTGACGCCTAATCTAGAGCAACCACTTCCAAGGGAGATTTTCTCAGACACCTTAACCGCTAACATCAGTTTGACACCACCATGTCTGATGGCCAGATGAAGAAGACCGCCAGCAATGCTAAGCTAAGACGCTACCGCCCCAACTTCACCTTCACACCTCTGAATGAAGGTCAGCTTCACCTTTTTAAAAGTGATACTGTGAATTACTTCATTTGATCAAATAGGGCTGTGTACATGATAGCACAAAGGCAGCACACCAAACTGAGTGCCTTTGGTTTTGCCTTGAGGCGAGGCTAGTCTGTACTTCCTCCTGTACTACATACAAATGAAGCTCAGCGCATGTTCTTTCAGGAAGACTGGTATACATTCACTCCGCACCTGCTTATAATCAGCTCATCACAGGCTTCCTGCTAACCTATTACATTCACCTCAATCTCAGCAGCCAATCATCGTGCTGCAGCCAAACTTTAAAATGGTTCTCCTCTCTCCTGCAGTCAGCTGTGATTTCAGGTTTCATGCTGCCGACCACCTCCTCCCCATCCACCTCCTTTCATCACATCCAGTGCCAGGAGAGCTAATCCAAAGACCTCATCACATCCCCTCATCAAATCCAGATATTCAGCATCATCACCAGTGTCTAGACCCCGGGGGGGGGGGGGGGTTCCCTATGCTCACGGCTGCATCCCCCCTTTAGATATAGGATTTCAGGATCGGGGTCTAATCGCCAAAGACTTAACATTTATCATATGGCATGTGTCAATACATGTTCTTTAAACAAAATGAAGTCTCTCCTGATTGAAATAAGAGCTTTGAATGAACATTTGCATGCACTCTCAGCATTCTGAAGTTTTTTCTCTTCCCCAAGCTATCAAGATGACCTGCGACTGGTTCGTGGCCAACTATGACATTGCCCGGACATGAAGGGACCATCACCGAGCTGAAAATGATCACTATTCTATTGTAAAGCAAGTTTCTTTAAATACATGATTGTTTGTAAAGTTCTACATTAAACAACGCTGAACATATTCTCTAGTGTCCTGGAGCCTCTTCAACTTTGAATCTCAAAAAGGAACAGGGTTTTATCTAAACTTTTCTTGAAAACACGAATGAAACTGATTTGAAAAGGGCAATAATAAATATAAGAAACATAGGACTTAAACAGTCCCAGGAGTAAGCCCTCACTCCCTTATATGCAAATATGGGATGCTTTGCAAAACAAATCACAAACGACTGAATTGGACACCATCCCTCTAAAACTATGATGAAGATAAGTATATGAGGCGTATGGGAATAAAAGTAAAGCCTTACACAGCGGCTGATTTTTCAAATTTTATTGGGAAAATTCTACCTAAGAAAAACAATACTTTTTCTTTAATCCAGTAGGCTCACCACAGAAACTATAGAAATTCAGTTGTTTTCAGTCAACAATAACACAGTTTCCATTATTTACTGTTAGATTTCAGTGCAAGAAAAACTAAATCAAGACACGGACACAAAGCCTCTCTTCCACAGATCGTACTTTTCTGACTGAAGAGGTTAATTCCCCCCACCCCCCCCCTCCCTTTTCCATCCCCCTGCCGCTTAATACCTTTCTTCCATCGCTTATTCGGTTAGGTAGAAATGCATTTTGTCGTTCACGTTCTTGCGCTCGGGATTGAGGCGCTTCAGGATCTGAGCCAGCACGTTGACCGTCTGCTCGCTGCTCAAACCCGTGCGCTTGGTCTGGAACTTCTTCAGCAGGTCTTTGGTGGTCATCGGTTTACGGATCAGGTAGCGCCGCACCGCCTCCTCTGTTAGCTGCACGTCACTGTTGAGGAGACGGAGAGAAAAGAACATCGTTTTTATCCCGTTCACAAAAGTTACATATTTAAAAAAAAAACGTTTTAAATCTCAGCTAAAAACTCACCTCTTTGCACTGGCTTGTAATATTAGCATTTTGATATTTGTATGTGTTTTCATATGTCTCAAGTTATTGTGCTTTTTATCTCGTTTTTAATTATTGTTCTATTATTTTACGCCTATTGTGCTATTTTATATGTGTTCCCTGTACATCACTTTGGTCAACTGAGGTTGTTTTAAATGTGCTTTATAAATGAATAAAGATTGAGATTGAGATGAAATATGGCAGCAGAAGCTTAGCTTTTAAGGACATGGCTTGGGAACCGGATGGTCACTGGTTCAAGTCTCCATGCACACATTCTTTCTGTAAATATGGAACGATGTCTGAATACAGAGTCTTCAATCTTCTTAAATGTGATCTAGACCTGAGGCTTCAATTCTAATAAACTGAATAGCTTTGAGATTGGGAATGACAGACTAGGAAGTTATTTACATTACATACATATTACATTTGACTTGCATTGTAATCGGAGAAAAGTGAAATGCCTAAAAAGGGGCAGGTAAAATAAGATGTTCTTCTCCCTGCTACTTTCCACCATGCGCTATAAAAAGTGTACATGTTTTGTAAAGTGTACATGTTTTGTAAAGTGTACATGTTTTGTTAAGTGTACATGTTTTGTAAAGTGTACATGTTTTGTAAAGTGTACATGTTTTGTTAAGTGTACATGTTTTGTTAAGTGTACATGTTTTGTTTTAAAATAACTGCCATGTGTGGAATAAACAAAATAATAATAAAAAAATGGTCTGACTGGTTATAGTGAAGTACCTTGAGCTAGGAGTAGATTTCCCAGGCGGGGGTTGAGGCGTACTCTTCCCAGAGGGGACGGGGCTCTGACTGCTGGGCTCCATCTTCAGCCTCTTGGCAGCAGGTGAGTCCGTGCTGGGGCCCGGAGGCGGTCTCTTACCTGCAAGGAATAGAGATTTTAGATGGAATGGAAGAACGAGAGCTTTCATAGTTATATGTCAAGTGTCTTATTTAGTTATAATGAATGTGTGTGTATGATCCAGGACCTTGCTCCAGCTTGCTGGCAGCAGCTCGGAGTGTGTTGGAGGTGGCGGCGGAGTCTATGGACGGGGTCCCGGGGCGACTGCCGGCCTTTGAGCTTCCTGCAGAGCCGCGTCCTCCGCGCTTTGGAGGCGTGCGCTTTTTCTGAGAAAGGAAAAGAAAGTCAGAAACACTTGATTTATCCCGGGGGGAAACTGGGTTTTGTCACAATAAATAAGTATGAAACAATATATATAGTAGTGCAACAATAATGAATAAGTTATAGATTACAATAAAAAAAAAGACAGTATGAAAACAATACACATCATTTCATGCATATCGACCTTTTAAATGAGTAAGTACACACTCTGCTGACGTTCATAATTACCATAATGGAAAATATTCACACACACACACACACACTAATCACCATGAACAGAGCTGAGGCCGTCTCTCCCTCGATGTCGCTGTCGTCTGAGGTTTCTGACTCGCCGCTGCTGTCTGTGACACAGAACCACAGAGACCATCATTTGATTCGACCTTCCTCAAGCAGAACAGATTGTGTATGCATTGTGTCCGACCCAGTGTTAATTTTGGCAGCTGTTTTTGATTTAGTCTTAGTCTTAGTCTTTAGACGAAAATGGTTATTAGTTTTAGTCACATTTTAGTCATTTCTATCCTTCATAGTTTTAGTCTAGTTTTAGTCGACGAAAACTCAAAACGTTTTAGTCTACTTTTAGTCGATGAAAAATTACATTTTAGTCAACTTTTAGTCAAAATGTTTTCTCTCTTTAAACCAATTCAGTTAGGCAAATACAGGTATCTGACATTGTAATCAAGGTGACCGCATCAAGTGTTGAAATTCGTAAAGCAACATTTCACTCTCTTAACACTTTACTTGTGTAATATCTAGGGATGGGTATCATTAAGGTTTTCTACGGTACTACTAGTCTTATCAATACTGCTTATCGATCCGGTACTTTAACGGTATTCTTGTATTTACTTTTTGTTATTTTTTAAAGGAAAAAACTAACAAATTGTTAACCGAATTAATTGCTTTATTTAAATGTGAAATAAATGAAATATATATAATTATGTTAAAATATTGTACTGTACTTGAGTAAAATGTTGAGGTACTTGTACTTTACTGGAGTATTTAAATGTTTTGCTACTGTGTACTTCTACTCCACTACAGTTCATAGTTAAATGGTGCACTTCTACTCCACTACATGTATTTAATACCTTTAGTTACTTTACAGATGTGGATGAATGATGTGAAATATAATCAAGTGTTAAATCAGACTTTAGTTCCACCTGGAGTAAATTCACAAGCTACCCTGCAGTATACAAAGTCATTCAAACTAGCTGCACCTTTACTAGCTTTGAGAACACTTTAATGATCAATCATTATAAAATATATCATATTATTCTGAAATGGACCAATCTGCACAATGACTACTTTTACTGTTGCTACTTTAAATATATTTTGATGAGAATACTTTGACTTGAGGAACTCTTCCTACACTATGGTATTTTTTTACTTAGCTACAAGATCTGAGTACTTCTCCCACCTCTGCACACCTGATGTGATAACGTTACTCGTAATTGGGGCAACAGAGCTACGAGTTAAGGAAGTCGAAAATTGTGCATTTCTCCGACTGAATATGACGCCTTTTGGCCGGCTGTTTGGACAGACTACTCTACTCGTGTCAACGCGCTAACGCGAAAACATGGCAAACGAGCTTTGTCCACATCGAGTCTTGTAGAGTGTCTCTATACTCTCTGAACGCTCGGTCCCCGGCAGATCTCTGCCGCTGCAGCGTGTCTGTTAGGCCCCGCCCCCCGCACACACAGAGAGAGGGAGATCGCTCTTCTGGAGTGAAGAGAGCGGAAATAATGATATTGCAAGTTAGAAATGTAAGATGCATTTTGACAGACAAGACGGACACTTGGGGGGAAATACCCTGCATTTTGAATGTCCGATAGTCCACCATTAACACCTTAGTCCCGTCTCGTCTCGTCAACGAAAACTAAATATACATTTCGTCAAATTTTCGTTATCAAGAATCTAATTTTAGCTCGTCATCGTCTCAGTCATGTAAAAAAGGTCGTTGACGAACATTTTTCGTCATAGTTTTCGTTACGAGTTCTGTACCTTTTTTCTTCTTCTTTTCTGCTGGAGCTGGCGTTTTTGTCTTCGCCTCTTCTTCTTCTTCCTCCTCTTTCGTTTCCTCTTCGTTCTGTTTCTCCTCCTCACTCTCTTCCTCACTTTCAGACGCCTCGTCTATTCCTGTAAAAGGAGAACAAATATTGGATATAGAACAAGTTATTTACTAAATCATTCATTCAGTGTAGCAGTTAGGCCATAAACATGGAAATACAGTCAAAGTGGGACCTTTGGGGTGGTCCTCTCCTTTGCTCATCTTCCCCTTCTCTGGCTCCTCGTCTGAACTGCAGTAGGAAAACAGAGTTTCAAACTATTCAAAGAAGAAATACAACAAGCAAAAACGGTTTTTGTATAGTGTGGGGTGTCTGACCTGCTCTCATCTGACATGTAATCCACCTCTAGACCCTCGTTGTCTCCGTCATCACTGTCCTCCAAGGCCTCTTTGTCACTGCTCTTCTTCTTCTTCTTCTTCCCTTTTCCTTTCCCTGTTTCTTTCTTCTTCTTTGGTTTGCTCTCTCCATCTGTTCAATGAAAAGGGGAGGAGAAAAAAAAAAAGGAAAATCACGTGATGACAGGGAGTAAAAATGTGGATAAGTATGTCAGAACTTGAGATGATTGATTACTTACCATCCCCGTTACTGCTGTTACTGTCGCTGCTGCTCATCTCCAGGTCTTCTTCCAGGTCGGTAATGCGCAGATCGCCCCCTCTCCCTCCCTTCTTTTTCTTCTTCCCACCCTTCTCGTTCTCATCGTCGTCATCATCGCAGCCGCGCTCCTGCTCCCGGAAACGTCTCTGAAGCATGATGCTGAAGTGATTCACCACCTTGTTTCGTCTGTAAAACGAAGATAATGTCTGATATGAAATGTTTGTACTTATAGTTTGCTTTTCCTTTACTGCAAACAAAACATCCCTCCCTGTTCCTCCACCCCCCTCTCACCTGCCCCACTCCTCCTCCGCCTCCTCAGCAGTGAGCGTTCGGTGCTTGGCCTGTGGTACAAAGTTGTACCAGCCGTTGACGGGGAAGGCCTCAAACGCCCCATCGGGACACTGTGTGAAGATGTAGTAGGACGCGTTTTCTGTAACACTACCCTTCTTTAGACCTTTGAACCTGGACACAGACAGAGGGAGAGAAGTGCTGTAATCCAAACAGGAAGGGTTCCCCAACAGACCTGCATATACACACTCGTGGAGACCCTTTGGTAAAGACTTGAAGATTGCTCTACTTCAGCACAACCCGACAAACTTAAAGGGGACCTATCATGCAAAATGCACTTTTGTACGTATTTAATACATGAATATGTGTCCCCGGTGTTCCAGGGAACTCACCAAGTGTCAGAAAACACAACCCTCTCTATTTTCCTCCATACCCAAATCTCTAAAAAAGGGCCTGCAACGGATCTGATCAAAACTGATCCGTATTTGAACACTGTCCTGACGTCAGGACGGTGGCGCAAGGGGGGTTAATACTTTCGCAAGGCACTGCATTGTGAGCTGGCTGTTTAAACTGAATAGAACACATGCAAGAACTTTTCAAAATGACAAGTGGATGGCTGAAAGATACATGTATAAAGTAACTAATATGAAAACATATAAATTACATCACAAATATGTAGGTGTTCCCTCCAGACGTATACATGTTAAAAAGTACGATGCTGAAGATACATCAGCGTCTATCTCCTCACCTCTTGCCGGCCTTGCCATTGACCTTGAGAATCCAGGGCTGGTCCTCCACTTTGAACTCACGCTTCACAATGCCATACTTCTTCCGCCGTGATTCCTCGCGCTGCTTTTTGCCAAACTCACTGCCAGCCGCGCCATCCACCGACTCTTCTTCCCCATATATCCGCCGAGCACTCATGTCTCTTTCCATACGAGCCTGGCAAAGGAGAGGTAGGGAGAATTGCAAAACTGAACAATGGACCACGTGGCTGCTAATTAAAAGGCGAATATTATTATTTATGCACTGGTTAATTTTAAGAGTTTGGGCTTCTTCCTTACATAACATTTCTTTCAGACTAGTCGAAACATTTACAATACAATTTCTTTTTGTTCATTTCAGTTTGGTTCTTATCTTCTGTAGATTTATCGTAAATGCACCTAAAGAAAACGTTACTTAATGATTCATTCGTGTATTTAAACTTAATATGGAAAGGAAACTTGCAGTCCAAAAAGTAATAATTGCTTTAACGTAAGCACGCAGCTAGGGATGGTGACACAGGGAGAATAAAGTGTATCACATATTTCCCCACTCACCTGCAGTGTCATGCTAAATGTACCTTCAGTAGCATTTAAATAGACCAAACTCTCCAATCAATATTTTAAAAAGTGTATTTCTGAAATATCTCAATCTTTATTGATTTAACTCTCAAAGACATTGGAAAAATTATATTGACAGTATTGATATGATGATATGAACACAGTGAGATAAATCCCCTTATTAAAACACGTTACATTGAGCATGGCTTTATCCCATGTTCATATTGCTGTATTCTTTATCTCCTCCTACACTCTTTGTGTCGTTTCTCTCTTTCAGTATTGACTCATGCCCCACCACACAGGAAATGTCTGTCACATGAAAATACACTGACATGAAACCCACCTGTGTCCAGGCAGAACAGTTGACCTTGTCTCCTGAATTGAAACCCATAATGCTGTACTTCTTGTTGGTGTTTCTAGGAGACAAACAGAATACAGAAATAAATGTATTGTCTGATCATAACCAATTCCATGCACGAACCACTACATAAAACAGAAAAACAACTCAGTCCAATAAATCCATATTGATTTATAAACATATATAACAGCATCTGGCGGATAGGGCTTTTATTTAATTGAACGTCTGCAAAACACCAATAACAAAAAGAAATGTAATCATTTTAACACACACAAAGTGGTGATATGTGTACAAGGCTTGTGCGGACATTTTTCTTGGGATATTTGCATGGTACTCACTTTGGGACTCGCACTGTGTATTCTGTGGACGGGGAACTGCTGCTCCCCTGTAAGACAAACAAAGGCTTTATCTTTCCATATGTGATGCCATTTAAATGACATGCAGCACCAAAACAGACCACCTCCTATTTTGAACATAAATGAAAAATAAAATGCTGTATTCATGATAAGTTTAAGGGCATCAAAAAATGTGGTAATGGAGGCGTGTGTTTTTCCTTCTGCTTCTGTTTTATGTGGAAGTGTTTGCATATCATTTCGCACATGTTGAGTTTTAATGAGTGCTTTTATCCAATTGCGACCATGGCCAGGTTGTACAATACATGTTTGATCTGAATGGGACTTTTTGGTTAAATAAAATAATATAAATATATAGGTGAAGGCCACTTACTTGTAGCTGCATGACTGTTAACTTGTCATAAGATTACATCACTGCACAAGCAGACTTCATTAACAGGGGCAAAAGAGACATTTTGTATTTTGTTGTTGAAAGTCAAAAGAGTGAAAACTTACCAGTGAAGTCATGGTTGGTCGTCTCTGTGGATAAACTAACACATCAACAGTTGGCCAGTGGGTTCACTGTGATAACAGGAAAAATGGGTTAATAAAGGCTTTGTTTCCACACAGCGGTTTGATGTGACTTTAAAACACGTTACATATAAATCAAAAGTAAAGTGGCCCTAGTATTCATCCATGTGTTATTGGTAAGTGGCAATGTATCCAAAGCAGCTGTGCATAGTAATGTATGTAGCTAAAGCAGTGTCTGTTAGAAATAGTAACACTTAGCAAGCTGACAAAGACTTGTTATATTTAGCTTTAATCGACTGTAGCAATAGTTCATGTGCACATAAAACACTGGTCCCATGTCCATGAGAGTTACATACTGTTAAATTACGAATACAATTGTCAGTGAGCGTAAAATTAAGCTTGATAACGTCTCTGAGCGGTTTATGAACCGTGGATGGTAGCATTTGATGCTAACATCAACAGTATCAACACGCATAGCAACCCGTTTCATTATAGTCCTGCTAACCGTTACTAGGTTACAGCCAAATCAAATGGCGTTCGTGTAAAATGAAGGGACGCAAAAATGCAAACCTTAGGGTGCTCACATATAGAAAAAAAGTTTAACAGCATTAAGAATATTTGCATCTGAATTACCGGTTTGCGTTGATTACTCCCCTCTGAAATCGTTCCGTTCATATAAAGCGTCGACAGGAAACATTAGACTACTCATATGGTTCCTAGCAGTCCGGAGCGGGATTGGGTGTGTAATGTTCTTCTTCAGGCTAGTTTTACTATTCCACATAACCACACTGCTACTATGGCTCGATTCATAATATTATACATATTTCGTTTCTGAAATAATTACACCATAGTCGTTACTATCTCAGTGGTATTTAAAAGTAACAGAGTAGCATCGAGTTATGGCTCTTGCAATGCCAGTGTTCAAAGCCATCCGGAGGGCAGACTCCGTATCAATCATTATTAATTATTATAACTAAATCTCTGTCCACATTATAATTTATCTTGTTAACGGACGTGAACTTTGTGTTGTTACCTTATTTCTAGTGGCGTACAGATCTAGTTCACCAAGTTGACCACACGAGGGCAGAACACTCTTGACAACAAATACTGACAGGTTGATTATGGCAAAACTAAATAGAAGTAGTAGGAACGTTACTTTGTATATTTGCTTTGGCACACAGGGCCATATTTGGAGGCAAACGAAACCACTTTTAGACAGTCTTGCATACTAGCAAATAATACTTTCTGTTAAATGTCTTATGATGCTTCAACTTTTTATTCAAATCAGCCCCCTTATTGGCCAATTGCAACAAGCCTTCTCATTTGCCCATTTAAACAAGTCACATGATTGGCCCAATTAAAACAAGCCTTCTAATTAGCCCATCGGGACGAACCCTCTTATTGGCTTACTGAAAAAGCCCTCTGATTAGCACATTGAAACGAGCTCTCTGATTGGCCAATTGAAACGACTATCACCCCTTGCTGCTAAATAAATACTAACCAACTGTGCAATATGTGCTATATGTGCAATATGTATATATATATATATATATATATATATATATATATATATGCCGTTAATAACTGTGTAATATATACCTAGCTGCTAAATCCTTAGAACTGTTACAATATGTGTATTTTGTAAATTGTGTAACTTGCTGCTGTTAAATACCATCCATCTATGTGCAATATGTGCTATGCCTATATGTGCAATATATATATATATATATATATATATATATATATATATATATATATATATATATATATATATGCCGTTAATAACTGTGTAATATATACCTGGCTGCTAAATCCTAAGAACTGTTACAGGACGTGCATTTTGAAAATTATGTAACTTTTTATTTTTTATTATATTTTTTATTATATCATAACTTAGTACTTTAATGTATGTAACAACATTAAGCTGTCTGTGGCTCTTTTTCTGCTGTAACTACGTACATTTCCCCTCCGTGGGACTAATAAAGGTATTCTGATTCTGATTCTGACTAATCTGAGTGGCCAATTAAACAATCCCTCTGATTGGTCCATATAAACATGCCCCTGTTTGCTGCTGATGCTGGCTTCCTTAAAATATTATTACTCTGTGAAATATGGAACATGTTCACTCTTAATTTAAAAATGTTTTCACCATTGTGCTACTAAGCATATGGTGAATTATTATTAATTAGTGAGTCTTGTTATTGTGTTGCTGCGTGCCTTTAAGAGCTCTCCTTGTGTCTTGGTGGAAGCTGTTACACTTGAGCTTTTCCAATTTGCATTGGCTTTTGCATTGGTATCGGACCCTGTGAAAACAGTGTTTGGGTGCTGTGCAAATTTCCAAAATGTACTTACAGTATACAAAGATTAGAAACTAGTGATTGATGTTTTGTGGAGTCGGATCTGTCACGATGAAGTGCTGTGCCTTTTCACTTCTCCTCGGTGAGTTAAATCATGTTTCATATTGTTAATAATGTGTGACAATTAACTAAGATTTACATTAAATAAGTAATAATGAGAATCTATTATTTTCACTGAGTATAAACCTGCTAAGGCTGCACAATTATTTTTACATTTGTGTCTGGATTTCAATATGCAACCAGAGAAACATACAATTTGGATACGTTTGTTTGATTTTTCCTTTCAACCAACTGCAATTATTTACAAATAAAACAATAATACTGTACATTTTTGTCAATCTAGTGTATTGTTATAACAGAGGCTGATGTAATTTTTGTTCAGTTTTTTACATGCATAACTATTTCATGATTGAGTTAATTATATGATACTTTTATATATTAAATCTCACACAAATGTAAATAATGTAAAGACTTTCTAAGAAGTAATTCAAACAATACTTTATGTCTTTTTGCTTTAAAGGTTCTCTTTTCATCCTCGGCAATTGTACTTTTACAGCTGGTAAGAATGATGTTCAATTTTAAACATCAGATATAAAGACTTTGTTATAGATGAAATACTGCACATTTGTGTTATATACTATTGATATACATTTTGCTGTTTCATGCAGGTTCTTGTGATGGATACACAAACATAACTGAAACATGGCGCAACTACTTATTTGAATCAACTACCTTTCCCGGGTACCCACAGAATGATACAGCTCTTACTGGGAGATGGTGGCGCTTCACTGGAATCGGTGGAGACCAAGTCATTAAAACCTGCACTCCAGAACCTCGCGCTGGTTTCACTTTCGCCATTTTTATTGACTATGCATATCCCATAACTGTAACAACTCCAGCAGACGGGGTCGCGTATGAATCAGTTTTGGAATTTTGTACTCGTGATGCTATTAGCATGAGCATAACCATCTGTCCTGAAGGATTCTACATATATAAACCAATAGCTAATCCAGTCACCCCTTTTGCAGGTTATGCAACCTGTAAGTAATGATGATAACTCATCTTCATCCTTGCCTTTATATTTGGGTGAAGACATGTCCTGTATGCTGCTAACTGTAGTTAAAGAATACCTAATTAAATCTTGGTGTGTGTGTGTGTTTGTGTGTGTGTGTGTGTGTGTGTGTGGTATATCTTTTTTAGATCATTCTGAGTGTATCTTGGATTCCTGTGGACCACAAGCTGAGTGCGCATATACTGGAGGGTGCGTCTGTGTTGCTGGGTATGAAATCCCCCCTGGACACCTCCCCACACCAGATTCATATGGTTGTGCTGGTAAGTAGATTTATCAAATCTAAAATGCACTTAATCACAGTGTGATTTATTATGGCTATAACTATCTCTTTGCATTTTGTTTTGATGAAAGTTCATTAAGATGTTTCATATAAACTTACAGTCTGCATTCCGTGAGCATGTAATATATTTCCCAATTTTAACTCCTGATTTCTCTTGTCAGATAGTGATGAGTGCCTGAAGACTTCAGACATGTGTGGTTCTTACTCAAATTGTACCAACACCATAGGGTCATACACATGTACCTGTTGGGTTGGATACATTGCAACAAACAGAACATCACCACCTTCAGGGACCAACCAATGCACAGGTGTCAATTAAAAAATGTGTCCCTGTCAGTAATGAGATGCAATGACATTACATTTTTCAGGCTGATATACAAACATGGATTACAGTTGCTTGTTCTGCTTTATAGATTATGACGAGTGTTGCGATGAAATCTGTGGACCGGGTGCCTGTACCAACAACGTGGGAAGTTATGCGTGTGAATGCGATGATGGTTACAAGCTTGTAACTGAAGCAACACGTGATTGCCAAGGTCAGTGTTAAATGTAATGAATCCAGAAAATGTGTAAAAAAAATATAATACCACCAACAAAAAGAACATAATTAAATTGATTGCAATGCACCTCTTGAACTAAGATGCTCACCTCAACAGTAGTTAGTGTTTACTGGATTCAAGAACAAGACTCTTGTACCTGATTTCACTCCAGCCCTCACCATCACCAGATAGGCTACGCTGTTTTTAAAGTAAAACATGGTTCATACTTATGAACTTTGAGTTATGTACTTCTTTGTTAAAACCCCTTTTCAGTGCTTTTATTTTGTAATGAAATCACTTTATTCCCATTCATTTTTTGTATTTTCACAATTTAACGCTTACTGTGTTAACCATTGCTTCCTCAGATATTGATGAGTGTTTAAACATCACCATCTGTGGTCCTGAATCTATTTGCATTAACATTCCCGGAGCTTATACCTGTAAATGTCAAGTGGGGTACGCACCGACTGACCCAGCTGCAGAACCCAGCTTGACCAACATCTGTATCGGTATTTGAATTTATGTTTTTCAAGATCTAAAAGCAGATGGAAAATTGCAACTCAATTGTCCCATACAAAGCTGACTGGATTATTGTTTCATTTGTGTGTTGTTTGACTGGCAGATGTTGTTGAGTGTGCCAAAGTTCCCCCGATCTGTGGTCCCTATTCCAACTGCTCAAACGCCATCGGTTCTTACTTCTGCGATTGCTTCCATGGTTTTCGACTCAATAAGCTAGCTGTGATTGCCAGCTATAATAACCCATGCACAGGTGTGTGCACACATCACTTTAAGTCTGATTTTGTTATCATATATCTTTACTATTAAGTGTCTAACTGTGTTTTCTCTCTCCAACAACAGATATAGATGAGTGCTATGAGAACCCTGGTATATGTGGTAAAGACACTGTGTGCACTAATGTACTAGGGACCTTTTATTGTTCTTGTCCTGATGGATTATTCCCTTCAACCGGAATTGTTTGGACAGTCGGATTCACATATTGTCAAAGTGAGCTGAGGATTCATCGATTTACAGTATTAACAGCACACTAACAAATCCTGATGTGCTTAATTACTGATCGTTTGTCTCGTTTCGTTCAACAGCTATTGAGAGCTTTTTAGAAGAAATAAAACCCCCAGAGGTAAATATCGCCAACAAAGTGGCACTGTCTTCTTACTTGTGTCGTAGGATTTTGTTAAAATGTAATTGAAATTGCAGATGCCAAATGTGAAAACCAAATATGCCAAACTATTTCAATGTTTGAATACACTTAAAAACCCATTGAAGCGTTTTTGAATGTGAGGTGACATTTGTGTATTTTCTGTAGGGACAAACAAAAGAGAGAGCTTTTCTTGGCAACATGGACGACCAGTTGAAAGAACATGTAGGCGACTTTTTACCACCGGCGGTAAGTAAAAACAAGAGTGCTGGTACTTTCCAAGAAAGCCTTGAAAATGTACTTTTATGATAGATAATTCGCTTTACAATATTAACGCATAGAAGGTTATGTTATTAGTCCTACAAATAACGATTAAGAATTTAGCTATTTATGTGATTCTACCATTGTGCATGGCTCTGAAGTGAGATGCACATGGATGACACTGCATCTTTATTTTCCTTCCTTTTTTGTGTGCTTTCTCTACAGACTGTGACAAACAGCTTCGCAGCATCCATGGTATTTCTGCTAACAATTGTGCAGCTATATGAGGCTTTAATCCTACTCTCAGTTAGCATTATCAGGCAGGCGAGTTATTGAAATATTTATGTATTATTTTTGCAGGAAGTGTCAGGTGTTGGACCACGTGTTAAGTCAAGCAGGTTAAGGAGGTCAAGCAAGGTGAGTAGCGCAGGAGACGGCAAGACTGGCAGTGTGATCCTGGGCATCTCAGACCGTTTAATAGCGGCGATGGTGCAGCCAGTGGTGAACCAAACCAAGACTAATGTGAAGACTGAAACAGTGGGTAAGGAATGTTAATCTTAGTTAAGATATTTACTGTCGTCTATATTAACTGGGTGGATATCAAATCAAATCAAATTCTAAAGACTAACCTGTGTGTTAGAATTAAGTGTAGAAAGTATCGGGCCTGGAGTCCACGATGCAGGGATTAGTTCTCTCTCAGCCAACAATAACACCATGGAGATCAACCTGGAAGATCTGGCCAACAACAACAATGGTGAGAAAAAATCATGTCATTAAATAGTTGATACAAATAATACAAGGCAAGGCAAGGCCATTTTATTCATAAAGCACCTTTCAACACAAAGTAATTCAAAGTGCTTTACAAAAATGAAAGACATTAAGAGCATTAAGAAATAGTGCAGTGGAAACACATTATAAAATGGCACCAAAAAAAAAGAAGATAATCAAATTAACATGAATAACACAGGTATAAAATACAAGGTCATTTTGTCCTTGTATAAAAACGCACAGATAACTTATCTTTAGTCTGCCATATGTATGTTTTAATTCTGCATGCATTAGTTAGATTCATTTTTAAGTCGACCTGACACAGTATATAAACTGAAGAAAATCTGTGTTAGCTTACCCATGGGAAAAAAGACATTCAGAGCTGTTGGAAAATGGCTAACAATTATTAATGTAAATTATGTGAAATGGGCTAAAACATGCACAAAATAAAAAAATATGTTGTATTTTAAGTGAACCCCTTCACTTTGTGGCCACTCCCAGGTTCTGCATCAGTTGCCTTCATGACATTAAATGGGATGGAGAGTCTTCTTAGCCATCAATACTTTAAAACAGAGAACCAGACAGAGATGTACTCGGATGTCATGACTGCCATCTTAACGTCAATGAACAACACCAACCTCACCGAGCCTGTCAACTTCACCATCCAACATAAGAAGGTGATTCCCAATTGATCCATCCACCTGCCTTTTAAGATAAGATACAACATGATATCTTTCAACATATCTTAAAATCTTTCACTGGTTTCATCAGACAGCACCTGAAAATGGTTTGATGACCTGTGTCTACTGGGAGGAGAAAACAGAGGAGATAGGGGAAGACACGATGAGTTGGTCAGTGGACGGCTGTTGGGTTGCATACACCAATGAAAACTACACGGTGTGCAGCTGCTCCCACCTATCCACATTCGCCCTCATCATGCAGATTGGGGATGTATGTCAGGTTTTTTTGTGTATGGTCAAATATTGTTGCCAATGTCAAAATCCTAATAGATTTTTTTCATCATGCAGATTGGGGAGGTATTAAAGGTCCCCTATTATACTGTTTTTTATAAATATATAATAGGTCTCAGATATATACAAAACATGTCTCTGAAGTGTTTGGCTTGAAATATCCAACAGATCACCCACTGTAGCATCCCATAATCCCCTCTGTTTCAGCCCTGTTTCAAAAGTGCTGATTCTCTGTCTGTTACTTTAGATGAAAATAAGGAGCCACTCCCCACGCCCCTCTGAGAGATATTTGGTTAAAAAGAACACAATGGTGCTCTAGGAGGAGATTCAGGTGATAAGGTGGAGGGGGGGTTACCTTGGTTGGTTATTGGCTAATGGTTACACAAGCCAAAAAATCGTTATGACATCATAAAGTGTCAGAAATCTGATCAGCTCATTTTCAGACAGGTTTTTATATAAATGGATCAGGACAAAAAGTGAGAGAATCTTTTTTCCTGAAACTTTCAGAATCTCTTTCCACAGAGGGGACACATGTTGATGTAGAAAAGACATGAAAAAGTGGATCCTGTTGTCTTTATTATTTTGCATAATAGGTGACCTTTAATGATTGGTGTGTGGGGGTACATTTGCTAATACAGGTTCCCCCTCATAAGGCCAGTTTGATCACAGTATGCGTTTGCCTGTGTGTTGTGTCTTTTCAGCCGGCACCACCAAATCCTTTCTTAGAGTGGCTAAACAGAATCTGCGTGATTGTCGGATTATTCTTCTTTGGTTTGGCCATCTTCACTTTCCTCCTGTGTAGCTGGAACCCCAAGATCAACAACACCGCCCGTCTTAACCTCTGCATCTGCCTCTTCTTCTCCCATCTGCTGCTGCTGTGGAATGACAAATATACTGATGAAGAGGTACAGTAAGACAAAATGCAATCGATTTTGTTTTAAAGTGGCCCTATTATGCTAATTTTCAGGTTCATATTTGTATTTTGTGCCTCTACTGTGACAAGTGTACATGCTTTACTGTAGAGAAAATGCTTTATTTGTCTCATACTGCCTGTGCCTGCAGCACCTCATTTCACCCTCTGTCTGAAACCAGAGCCCAATCTGCTCTGATTGGTTAGCTGGCCCGGTCTGGTGTGATTGGTCAACCGCTTAGAGATGTCCTGCCCCTTAGTTAATAATGTACAAAATGTGTGAACATTGGGATTTTAGCCTATGCAGACTATTATCATGGACAAAAACCTTTATAACACACTACAGGAAAGAAAAAACCCTCCCAAAAATAATAGAAACTCTTTATTAAAAAAATACTTGATAAGGTCTTTCAGACATGTATTACCTGAACCCTCCTTTGCTGAGGTCAATTTCACTTTGTTTTCACGGTACTACTTGTGTCTCCACAGCTGGCCTGCACCGTCATGGCGGGGCTCCTGCACTTCTTAATTGTAGCAGGTTTTGTGTGGATGCTGCTGGAGGCACTACAGCTTCACCTGTTGGTGCGGAGACTCACCAAGGTGCAGGTCATCCAGAGAGATGGCCTCCCCAAGCCAATTCTCTTTGTGATTGGCTACGGTGTTCCCTTTGTGATTGTGGGTGTTTCAGCAGTGATATATTCAGACGGATATGGTGCAACTGCGGCAGAAGTGTGAGTGAGACAAACAGTAATGAATACATTCATATTCTCCCGTAGGACAACATCTATGTTGCATGGATTGTTTGTTTGATTCTGTTTCAGGTGCTGGCTCTCTAGGACGCGCAATTTCAACTGGGCTTTAACAGGCCCTGTGATCCTTATCCTTGCAGTGAGTATCCCCTCATAGTTGTAAGTTGTAAGTTATAATTGTTGATGGGGAGCCACAAAATGAAATGTCCCTGGAACATGCAGTGATTAGCCAGAAATCTGACAGTGAAAAGGTTAAGCAGTGGTAGTCTATAAAGAGTAGTCTTTTCCAGCTGTGGACTCATCTTTTTTTTCTTGAAGCTCAATTGGATATTGTTCCTTGCTACTCTATGGAGTCTGAGACCCACCCTGGTCAACATGAAGAGCGGTGTTTCTCAGTCTAAAGACACCACGTATGTACAGTGTATATGTTCTAGGTTGGCTTTGCATAGATATGAAAGATAAAAACAAGTTAGTTGAAGGTGACAATTCGTATATATTGTAATTACAGTATAACCATATATGACAGTATATAAATAATGTCCATTTGAATGTTTTTCATAGTCTTATGCAGATTAACAATTGAATATTCTATCCTTAATGTATTTATACTTTGTTATGTAAAGTTGGCCAAATGATAGAGGAAGTGGCAATGTAAAAAGTGTTAAAAATTCAGTTTCCACAATTCTTAACATGAAAGCTCATTCAATTCTCATTGTTTGTTTGTAGGCTGATTCTGTTCAAGATTGTGGCCCAGTTTGTCATACTGGGCTGTACCTGGATTCTGGGCCTGTACCAGTCCAACCTCTTCTTCCAGGTCCTCTTCATCATGCTTAACTCCCAGCAGGGCACCTTCCTCTTCGTTGTCCACTGCCTGCTCAACAAGGAGGTACGCTCTTTATGCAGATGACTCTGATACCATTTTCATTTGGTAGTGCACTACTACTAACAATGAAGGCAATACAAACAGCCATATTTCTTTTTGGTAGCAATAACGCTTAACAAGTTGTATTTCATTGTGTTTTCTAGGTTAGAGATGAATACATTAAATGGCTGACCTGTTCTTTCAATAAGGAAAAACAAGGATCTGTGGTAAGTTTGAATAACACAACAACAATGCATGATACTACTTTAACAAAATGAAACGTTTGTATTTCTTTTAGTCAGTGGTGAAATGCATTAAGGTACATTTATTCAAGTACTGTACTTCAGTACAACTTTGAGGTACTTTACCTGAGTATTTTCATGCTACTTTATACTTTTACTCCACTACATTTTGGAATCCAATATTGTACTTTTTACTCCACTGCAATTATCTTAAGTTACTTTACAGATTTTGTTTAATATACAATAATAGGTTAGGATATTCAGCAGCAGAAAAAATGTGACTTTTCTTGAGTAAAATAACTTCTTCCACCACTGATTTAAGTATACCTTTTTTTCTTTTTGAGGTGTCTTTGTAGCTATTAAATGACTATCAAAATTAAAAATGCAAAAATATAGTGTGATAAAGTGACAAAACAATTCTAAACAATGTCCTAAATGAACCTAGGTTTTACTGCATACTGTGAATCTATGTAAGACATTTTTCAAAAAGTCTTGTATTTCGATCTGTATAAAGATTTATGTCAAATGTCCTGCAATGTTTAGCATTTATTGAATGATCTTTTTTTACAGAGAGATGTACCATCAGTCTCCGAGGACTTTGACAAGGCTGAAGATTAAACAAGCTAATGGTGATGGAGTGAGAATGACAAAGAAGAAATGGAAGACAGAGAGAAGAAATGCAAGCCTTACCCACTCTGAACCATTAGTAATTAATTATGTTTTATTGTTGTAATCATTGTTGTGGTAGGGCATGAAAGTCATCAAATGTATATATGCTTGTGTGTGTCTGCCTCAGCTGTATCTACTTGTATTCATAACACAAAAGGCAATATATTTTAACAAAATCTGAAAACAATGATGTTGTCATCATGGCAATTATTTTCCTCTGCTTAAAAAATATGTTTCTGTTTAGTAATATTGTATAGGCAAACATGTATAATAGCTGTAGCAACTTTGTAATATAAAAGCTAATACAATCTGATTTCAATCACTCAATTGTGAAGTGAACAGCTGCATGTTTGTGACAAGGCTCATAGCTATTTATTTTTGACAAAACGTACATGCTTTTAGTAGCATTAGTGTAGAGAAGTTGCTGTTGTTTGAAACGTTTCCTTAGTGGGTGTTCTGGTTGCTGCATGACAACGTATCTTTGTGAAATAATGTGTATATTTTAAGAACTTTGTCTTATGACATTATAATGTTTTGAGTCCATAATAAATCTCTGTTAAATCTGAGTTTTGCCAGTTTTGTTACTGAAATAAACCGACTGCTTCGACACCCCTTACCTGCACATACAGGATATGTATAAAGGCATTCTCCGGCTAATACATTTCATTTGTGGAAAACCCTTTGCAGATGTAAACTGAAAATGCATTGGTTTTTGTGAGTAGACTGAGTTAAAAATAAAGTTGTGTTTCACAAACACTTCGTAATAAATGTAATAGAGTTCTTGGCAAAAAGAAAAGATGTATAATGTAATGTATATCAAAAGAACTTGATTCAGACTATGCTATCTTAAAATTAACTTAACAAGAATGAAGAGACTAAACAAACCTCACAAAAAAAGACAAAGGGGAACAAATTCAATGAAAGATCAGACCATTTAAAAAAAACAACTTGGGTAACACAAAGACAAGCAACCCCACCTACATTTCAAATACACAAAGCAAAACACCTCTGTTAGTATCAATATTGTGTTAATTATTCACATTAAAACACAAGCTCCCAAAAAGATAATCATTTCTAAACAAATGAACACAATCTTCAGACTGCAAATCCCAATCCCCCCATCATGTACTTGGTACATTCTGATTGGACACTTCCTGTATTTAAGAGTTAAGTGAAACTTTTGCTCTGGCCAAGATGTTCTCCACAACAACAGCACCCTCAGCACTGGTAAATCAAAGAAAAATACACTAGAATGACTTAAGGACAACGTATTAAACTTACTGTTTGTCTGATGATGTATGAAACAAAAGCTATGTGTCATCATTTACCTGTTTGCTGTGTTTGTGCAAAGAACATGAGGTCACATGGTCAACTGAAAATGACTGTTCTGTGAGCCCATGGATAATGAACTGCTCTACCTGCTTGTTTGTCTTCTGTGAGTGAATTCATGTTTTCATATGGCTTTGAGGAGAGCCTCGAAAACATCCTGCTAAAAACTTCTAGACGGCACTCCTATTTACCAAATCATACCTATTTATTCTATTCAATGTGATCTTCTTAAATGTATGTATGTTTTTATCACTAGCATACACTGGGCCTCCCTAAAAACAGTTTTGAGCCCGCGTGTGGAGGCCCGCTTCAGATGTTGAAAGCTTCTGGTTTAGAAAAAAAAGACAGCATGTATAATGACAGACCTGACAAATTAGATGCAATTGCTTTTAGGATATTGACAACCCACAAGTCATTCTTATTTCAAGTTGTCATATTTAGTTGCATGGGAAAGGACTTGGGTTAAGTTAGCGGTAAACTGGCTAACATGCTAACACTAGCAGTCTGCAAAGTTGTTTATTATATGGCGTTGTATCAAACATTTTACTGCCATTAACTTCTGTCACTGTTTTTGCACTCTCTAAAGAAAATCCTCTCCCCTTTGCTGCTTGTTCTATTTCAGATAAAAAGGGCGGGCTTTTGGGAGCCCCGCAATTTCATGTGAGGTGTGAGTGTGGCCCTCTGTCCTGGAGAAGTCGACTTGTATAAACCTTTTAAGTACAGCCACTGCATCATGGGACATTGTCACTTGTAGGGAGTGACTTGTTGTTTCTTGTCAATATATGAAAGCTTTAATGACATGTGATCAAATAAGCTAACAATAATGCAAAATAGTAATAGGCCTATGCAAATGGTAAATGTTGTATCTGCATTTTGGTGCTACTTACATATTGACCTTCAGTAAAATATAATCCTATTTCATGCACTTTGACCCCATTTTAACTCATGGGATATGTGAAGAGCAGATTAGATGTGACAGTAACGTGTAGCCCGGGTGTAAATAGCATTGTTAGCTATGGACACCCGGTTGTAAATAGCATTGTTAGCTATGGACACCCGGTTGTAAATAGCATTGTTAGCTATGGACACCCGGGTGTAAATAGCATTGTTAGCTATGGACACCCGGGTGTAAATAGCATCTGCCTTAAATGAAATGTTATCAAAATCACGATATGTTATGAATTAATATTCTCCTGTAGGACAGCATCTATGTTGAATTGTTCAATTCTGTTTCAGGTGCAGGCTTTCTAGGAAGCAACATTTCAACTGGGCTTTAACAGGCCCTGTGATTGTTATCCTCGCAGTGAGTATATCACATATCCCATCCCATTCATTTCAATATAAATACATTTAGCTCAGCCTGATGTATTCTTTAAATGTAACTTGCCCTAGTTATAACCTTACCAATTATAACTTGTAGATCTTTTTTTGCTAGCTGAATACCAATTTTTAGGTAACTGAGAAACAAGTCAACATGCACTAATTATTGACAATATTGTTGAAATTCCCTCAATGCCCGTCTGAATTTCTAGTGAAGAGCAATTGATTGCTGGGCAACACAATGACATATTTGCCCTTTTCATTTTCTACACCACATGAGTGATTTATCACTGTGGGATTACAGGCAAAGTGAAACTAACAAGGAAGTATAAATAAGTGAGGGGTTGAAAAGTGTTAACTTTGTCTGATATCAAATTGAGAACTTTCACAATAACTTGTTTTCACCAGCACACAGGAGAGAGCACTATTGCTGGGTCCAAATTCATAAACTTCCTGATACACTGCCATGTTGTAGGCTAGCCTGTAAACACTGGGGCAATTTTAGAAATGTAACTTGGGCTTTGTTGCATGCAAATTGTGCCTCACCAAATGTTAGGATCGCTGACCAGAGCCACTGTTGTGTCTGGTCCCACAACTTCTGTTGGTAAGCCAAGATGGCGGTCATTGAGGGGGAAAAGGGTGTAATGTTCCACACTCCACTTTTCCCCCCCTCATTAAGCTCAATTGAATGTTGTTCCTTGCTACTCTATGGAGTCTGAGACCCAGATTGCAAAGAAATAAAGATCGGAAATGTTCTGAATGTTGAAGAACTTTCTTATTCTTAACGGGTTGATTGTGTTCAAGATTGTGGCCCAGTTCGTCTGGGCTGTACCTGGATGCTGGGTCTCTACCAGTCAAACCTTTGCTTCCGGGTCCTTGTCATAATTCTTAACTCCCAGCAGGGCACCTTCCTCTTCATCGTCCACTGTGCGCTCAACAAGGAGGTATAGTCTTCAGCTTGATCGTTCTTGAATTCTCACAAAATATAAACTAACTATTGATACATTTCTTATATGAATTCAAAAAACATTCATTTGCATTTGTGAAACAAGAGCTAAGATGATATTTAACTTTTGATATGGTGGATATTTTAGCGTGTGTTCTGTAGATCAGGTATATTTACTTTTATGTAATACTTCAGTTTGTAGTTTTGTGTATTTTGTATGGCATTGAATTGTTTTTGGGTTGTACAGGTGCGAGAGGAGTACATGAGATGGCTGACATGCTCTTTTGGAAAGGACAGATCTGTGGTAAGTCCTCACATTTACTCTAGCTGTACAATAAGTACATTTTTGATTAATATAGATACATGAGGCAGTCCCAACTGATTTCTACCATGTTGAGTAGTGTGAAAAGGATGATAAAGCCTCCTGCCAACAGGCATTGGTGTGAACTGTGTAGAGTATTTGTGGATTGGAGCAGTATTTGTTTGTACTAAAACGGCCTGTCAATTTCAACAATACTAATAGTGATTATTATGTATTTCAATAGAGAGATGCACCTTCGATCTCTGAGGATTTGGACAAGGAGGAGGGTAAAAAATGATGACTCCTGATGAAATAAGAGGGAGAACTGAGACTAAATCATCTGATTGAAGTTATGATTTACATTTTTATAAATTCTACTTTGATTAATGCAAAAAAAGAATGTCTACATAATAAATAGATCCTTGTCTGTCTCTTATAGATCTAGCTGTCATATTTTAAAGTCTCAAACAGTTGGTGTTAGACTTTTTAAATGCCATTTTCTTAATGTCTTTCATTTTTGTAAAGCACTTTGAATTGCCTTGTGTTGAAAGGTGCTATATCAATAAACGTGCCTTGCCTAGTGCTGACATTTTACTCTTTTGCAAACATTTTTTAGATGTAGTTTAGCTTATTAATTTCAGTTTTACAATCCTACACAACATATTTAAAAACGTACAATCTATCCAGTACATTAACATATTAATATAACACACACTAGGCTTTAAGAAATACATCTATAAAATCAGGGCCATATATAAGAAGTCTTTATGGTGTTATCGACTACTGAGAAGACTTCACTCCTAACTCATTTGCTTGTGCGTGGGAGCTTCCATAAACACACCGTGAGTCAGACAGTCTAAAAAAACAAACTTTCTTTAAAGTAAAAACATTCCCGTCTTAGTTGTTTCTATCTCTTTCCATTTGTATTGTATTTACATGAGAGCTAGGACACTTCGAGGTGAGTCAAACTTTACAAGACAAATTTAAGGGACAGGCAAAGCCAAACATTTTCTGTTTAAAGTCTGTTTACCTCACCCCTAACCATTAATTAAGAAATATCATGCAGTGGTCACAGAGGCATAATTAC